CTTTCGTCGTGATCAACCATCTTTGGTCCACTCGATCGATCGGCAGCAACCAGCACGATTGCATCGATCGACCCTCTTTCATCGATCGGCAGTCATCGCCCCATCGATCACCTTCGGTCCACCAGACCAATCGGCCGCCGCCTGCCTGATTGTATCGATTGACTATGCACGGTCATTCCGATCCACCATTCGTCGATTGACTATGCACGGTCATTCCGATCGATCGGCAACCACCGGTCTGATTATATCAATTGACCAATCTTCGTCGATCAACTGCACACACACCAACCCGACCGACCGACCACCCTTGATCCACTTAATTGATTGGCATCGCCTTCAGTCCAATCGATCAGTCGATCATTTATGTTTGGTATGTTGAATTCATCGCATGCTTTTCACATTATCTGCATTAGTGCATCCTCATTCACACTCTATAATGCACTTACGAGCACATGTTTCCAGTGGCACATTACTCTACACCTTTGCTCCTCGACACCCCTATGTCGTGTTGCACCATATCTTCTATGTTCGCACTTCCATTTGTGCACGCTTGCATGACTGTCTCGCATGACATTTCGTATGTTGCATCGCCCGCATGTTTGAGCCTGCTTGAGTCACCATCCTCACATACTCGCTTTGGATACCCACGTGTTTGCGTCGTGGATGACTTGTCGCCAAGTCCATCCGATATGTAGTTCTCTCCATCGAGGATTACATTTCTTCAACTCGTACGGTACCGCTCCTGACTGCGTAGCCTTTTTCGAGTCACTGCTCCATCACGGCACACGCGTCTTTTTCGAGTCACTGCTCCACGCATAATCATTTACGACACCGTGTCTATTCCCGAGTCATTGTTCTACGTACACTCATCTTGAATATTCACATATCCTCATCGGGCACGGCTTGCACATCAAGCCTACGCAGCATGAGTTTCTCTCTAGCGAGAAATACATCACTTCACTCTCATTGTGCACCTTACATGTGCATCATTTCTTCTCCTATAACGTCAGTCTCACTTACCATAGGAATGCCACACTACATCACTTGACACGGATCATCCTCCAAAGTCCTCCGACTCCTCCAAGTATGGGCACATAGCTACCACCTAGTAAAGATCATGCTCTAAAGGCCTCTGACTCTACTCAGTGTGCAAGCTATGTAGCCCATGGCACCATCTTCGGTATGTCATGTGTGCATATGTTTTGAGTTGTGCATTTGCATCTTTGCACAGACGACGCAGTCATCATTGGTATATGTCACTATATACTTATGATGAATGTTTGTTATTTCGTGATCGCTCCTACCCCGCTAGAGCGATCAAGATGCACTATATCACTTTGCATTTGTATGTGCGTTCCTAGCTATCTCAACAACGAATCTGCCTCGTTAGCTGAGTGGTCCGTTGTTGGTCACGATGTGGTAGCGAGTATTGCCTGCGAGAATGCCTCGGCGGGGCAATACTTGCTGCCTCACCGTGAACAACACGTGTATGTTGTGGTAAGGTTCCAAGGGGTCTAATAGGTATCACTTTGGCTTTCTTTTTCTTGGCCTATTTTCAAAGTATTAAAATCTACATTTTTATTACTTATACGCATCATAATTTCAAAACCTATTTTGAAGCTACTTGCAAACCTAGCTTAGACCATAAATGAGGTCAGACTTTCAAAAACTTTTACAAAATCTGCATCTAGTGAAACCTATTAGAATCCTTGGATTATTAGGATGGGGTCAGGAATTGCGACCCAGTAAAAACATACGCCGGTCTTTTGCCCATAATGCACACACTTAGATGTTGTATTATGACACTACATTAGATGGTGTACTAGGCTAAGGACTAGGATGCTAGATAGTCTTTTCCGACGTTCAGATTATAGTTCTCTGCTAGTTTGGTTGCCCTAGTTAGGTTAAGGACTAGGATGCTAGGCAGTTTTTTTAGATATGCGCACTAGTATGTTAGGGGCGGTCTTCTTGCAGGGTGTCATGCCTAAACACACGTACTTATAACAAGGAGCAAGTGATGATTTAAATGATTTGACTTTTTTTCTACAGGTGCTACTAAACTCCTCCCAAGGTGCTACTAAACTCCTCCCACCATGCATGACTCATATGCATTACATGTAGATAGTTATTTATACTGGTCTTGTTTTCACACAGGTCGAGACTTTTTTTACTTTCCTATATGTACTTTTCAGAGTCCATAGGAGAGTCTTTTATTAGAAATAATATACGGGCACGAGTTTCGAGGCGATAGGGGGTAGAACCACGTGATGGGGATCAAGAGTTGTTTGTTTGTGTCCCGTACCTTAATTCTAATTTTTTTATTATTATAGAATTAGGACCATATGTGTACTTATGCGATGTTTGACCCACTTATTTTGTTTCTAGGATAGGTTGTCGGCCCAGCGACACCCAACCTTTTCTTACTTTTTAGATTTAGCTTGTTTTACATTTTTCTTTGCATGTGATTGTCAGTTTCACCATTTTTTGCATGTAATCTTATCTGGGAATCGTGTGTATAATTCAAGTTCTTTATGACCTAAAAATTTATAAATTTTCTACAAAATTTTAATAAAATTTATGATTAAAATTTTCAGAATTTTCAAAACATGCACTTTACTTTCTGCATGGTGTTTGGGCTGAATTTTAAATGGATTGCATAGTATGACCATCACCCAAGTCATAATTAATAGGGTCTCTACACTTATGACTTGAATAGATAACTGCATCATTATGCATGTCTCGATAATAAGTCCCCGTGTTTCTCCAACCCGACTGACCCAACATAGATTTCTACTTATGTGATTGTCTAGTGCGTTTAAGGTGTTACTGACTTCTTCGACCTAGACGGGGAGTAAGTTCCTTGTGAGAGAGTTTTCAGTCTTGTAGTTGGACTTCTCTTTTCTTTTCACTCCAGCGACATCCTCGCCACTTTGGCATGCATAAGTCCCACGTTTACTCTTCTTACCTACACAGGGTCATAAGATTTAAGTTTCCTTCTCTTAGTCTTAGCGCTACCGAGGTCCCATTGGGGTCTAATAGCTTCGGTTATGTTGGGTTGACTACCTCTACGACCAATTAGGCTTCTGGTCTAATAGCTCGGGATAACGAATCTGTGGTACCCTGACCCAACTTTTTTTACCTGATTAGGATCACTCTACGCTCTCTTTGCTACCCCTTTGAGTCATGTCGCACCTTTTGACGCTTCGTTGATGACGTTTTTTAATCCCGATTGCGGATAGACCACTGCCCATCTGAGATACGATGATTCACCCTCCACCCTTTTGTCCCGGTCAGGCCTTGGAAGCATAGTGCAGACCCCTATGGGAGGACCTGGTTATTCCATAGGCCTCGATTGCCGATAAACCACTACCCATTTGGGATGTGACAATCGCTCTCTGTCTTGTGGACTGCGTGAGCTTTGAAAGCATCAAGATGTTATCGTGAAGTAACCATACGTTGTGACACCTACTACATGAGATATCATGACTTTGGCAGTGGTCCTTGATAGATATTTCAAAAGCTCATCCAACTTATCCAACTCTTATTTATTTTTCAAAAGGGCAGTGTTGCAGTATTTGCTTCATAAAAAAAATTCTCATTGGAAATTTCAATTTTGGCCTTTTGTTTTGTGAAAAGAACTTTAAGGGCAAATTGATGATAGGGATCCCACTCGCATTAATATTTGATGAACTGGAATAAATATCAAGGAAGATTAGATACCTTAAATAGTGGAAACTACAAATTAAGAGCACTTTGACTATTAGCTATTTAAATTTATTTTTGTTACATAATTTAACATCATCTATTTAACTATGTTTGGAACTATAAATAAATAAAAATTTAAAATTTAATATCTGTCTAATACCATTTAATATGATTATAGTCATTTTATATTTTAATAATACAAGCAATAATTGACGTACAAATATTGCTCGAGGTGAATTTCTTCTTTACTGTCATACATTGCTCAACTAAGCACCTAAGATCATGTCTAGTGTCTCCGAGATAAGATATTCATTATGTGTAAAGGAGCCTAGTGCTATTGAAAACATTGAGTCTAGTATCATTTTTTTTTCAACTTCAAGTAAAATTCTTAGAAGTAGCCAGCCATTCGGCTTAGCTACTATCATGAAACCGATGTAGTTTCAATATAGTTAAAGAAAAAAATAATGATAATTCTTATCACATAATAGGGTTTGTATATGAGATATGGTGATGATGGAGAGATGCTTATGTCAATTTTATCATAGCTTTCTTAGGCGCTCCCCGAGATGTAATTAATCAAGGGGATGTGTTCGGGGACTAAAAAAATAAATAAAATAAAATAAACCAAGGGGATGCGTTCCCTTGAGAGTTGGTCTTAACCCTAGAACAAAGTATTTTTTTGGTTCTCTGGTTACTAGGTAGCTTATGAAGGTACTCTTTTGTGAATATTTGGTTCAAAGTGTCTAGATCAGATCTTGTTTGGACGTACATCATTGACCTATCACAATGAGGTTTACCTCACAAAAACTCTTCAGATTCTTTTCAATTCGTTTGTCTGGTTCCGCCTTAAATCCTTCTTATCCGACCCCTTCTCTATGTCAAACCATTCATCGATTCAAGAGAATCTGTTGGAAAACGGAATACTAAGACGATGAGCGGACAGGCTAACGACTCTGAGTTTACAAAAACATGTCTTATGGAGTTCCAACTTTTAAAATTCTTAAGCATTATTTATTATTTTAATAAAAAATAGCTAATTCCTTCAAAACAAAGCACTTAGCCATGCTTTTTTGTCATATATTTCCCTAAAGGTTCAACAAGTGAGAAATGTTAGCTTAGCGAAAAAAAAGCGAGCACAATAGAAATATTATTTGGGTATAACTATATTATTCTTACCATAGAAATTGACCAACAATAGATACTTTTGGGCAAGTATTCTCTTTGCTTGTCATTTATACAGCCAAATTGGAATGTTTTCAGAAAGTGAAGCTCATTATAAAAGGCCATAGGCTTACCTCATTGCAGCTGCTCACTTCTATAACACATATAAGTTAATAAAGCTCCTCCAATTTCACGCCTCTATTCTCCGTTGTCCTTTTGTAGAGCCAAGCACAAAGCAGGAAGTACACAAAATTGAGCAAGCAACAACCAGCAAGAGTTAAGTAGACCTTATCCAATCTCGACTCATTGACATCATCTCGAAGCCATACAGTGTTGCGGCGTATCACCGTGATAATCGCTGAGCTCACATAAAAACCAGTCCCAGAAACAACAGCAAATGTTCCCGTCGCGATGCTCTTCAGAGAAGCAGGAAAATCCTGGTAATAAAATGAAACACTAGCAGGGAAATGAAAAGCTTCTCCAAATCCTACAAGTACTAGAGGTGGAACCAGCCAAAGAACAGACAAAGTCTTCGTAGTCGAAACAGCGAGCCTTTTTGATTCAGTCAAGGCCATTGCTGCCATGGCGAGCAAATTGATAACATGTCCGATGGCGACTCGGCCAAGTGGGGAAAGTCTACACCGGGTGCAATTAAGGACAGTGATGGATGCTGCAGCAGTAGCAAGCACAAAGACATTCATAGATCCAGCAGGTATGTAGAGACCGTGGCTTAGGTGACGGTCCATCGCCAGAGCCTGCAGAACTGTCAGGCTTGTCTGTACTGAAATAGTAGCACTGAGCAGTATGCCGCTCGAGATTATTGGGAGAAATCTAAGAAGAAGCTTTCCTTCTCTACAGAGGCTTAACAACTGGTTTTTATTGACATTGGGCTTGGAGTGGAGGTAGTAGGGCCTTCCACAGAGGTAGATGAGGAAGGCAATGGCAGTAATGGCGGTGCAAAGAGCGAAGCCCCAGTGCCAGCCAGCAGAGTCCTGAATGTAGACAAGGATGGTGATGCCAGAGATGGACGAGAGGTAGAGGGAAACAAAGCACCAGTTGAAGAAGGCGGTGCGGTCTGAATCAGTAGAGAACTGGTTGGCGCCCATGGTCATGCCATTGTAGCGAGTTCCGGCGATGCCGGTGGCAAGGAGGGCTATGGCGGTGAAGAGGACGGCAAGCTGGGAAGCCATTGGGGGCTGGTCGCAAGGGGTCGAAGGAGCGCAAGGTGGTGGGTGCAAGGAAGGCAGAATAGCCGTTAATGTGAGGAGAAGCATGCCCTGCATGAAAATGTGTAATTGCTGTTAGGAGACTACTTAAAGGAAGACAATGAATTCATACATCAAAATCTTACTTAGCTTACAACAAGTGCTTCTTTGAACAAAACTAGTTAAATTTTAGAGGCATTTACATACATAAAGCTCAATTCTTATCTATTAACATATCTAACACCAAAAACTTTTATGTTTATACCACCCAAATATTATCACATAAAAAATATCACCATTTTAACTTTAAA